CCCGCCCAGCTCTCGGGGTCGACCCGTGGGGCTTGGGCGGATCCCCTCCCCCTTAAAGGGCCCCGCGGCCCCCGCCTTGCAAGCTCGGCCCCAGGGGCCCCAAAGGGCCTGGCCAGACGCCACCGGGCGTGCGCTCTAGGCTGTTGGACTTGCGGCCCCCGCCCCTTTCTCTTTCAGATTAGACTCCCTGGTGGTCTCCCTAATCGGCTGTCTCTTAAAAGTATGCCCAGACCATGGGTCCCTTTCGGGAGCTCCCCGCAGATGAGCGGAGCTGGGAACTCCGCTATGTTAAGTCGGGCTGCCCCTCTCCTCTTGCTTAGAGACAGGAACCCTTTTTTCTTTTTCCCGGCGTTGTCCCTGGGAAAGAGCATAGCGCTCCTCGGGGCGGGAGGGCGGGCACCACTGCCTTCCCCACCGCAGGCAGTTTTAAAGGGATGGGCTCGCCCACAAAGGCAGACATCCACTTCTGCCCGCGTGTTTTCTCCTCTCGTCTTTTCAGAAAATTTTGCCACAATTTGTCAGCTCTGGTGGGACCAGCCAGTCTTCCCCATTCACTCTCAAAGGAGACTGTTTCTTCATTCTCGTGCTGCAGGGTCAACGCCTTAAGATCCGTGAAGGTTCTGTCAGAGATAGGGAGACTACTCCAATCTGGGAGCTCCCCTCCCCGAAACTCCCCATCCCCTTTTGTTTTTAAAGAATCTCAGCTCCTCCCCTTTTTTCGGCTCTTAAAGGGCCAGTCCACCTTACACTTATATAGATCCAGCGCTGGTAGGATGCTTAGACCGACCAGCAGCTAGCTATCCAGTGCCTTTGCAGACAAAGACCTTAGGCCCAGAGAGCGACATAACCTATCGAAGGTCACAGAGCAAGTGAAGCCAGGACTCCAACCCAGGTCTCTGACACTGAAACCAGTGCTTTTTTGGAGGGATCGCTTTAAACCCAAAACAACACAATGGTGACAGGAGCCCTCTCTGATCCTGTCTTTTGTTTCCCAGACCCTGAGATTTTCTACCTGGAGAATAACCACACCTGTCCATTCAGCTTATGTGGCCAGGAGACCCTTTTCTCAATAAAATAGGGTCCAACCTGTAGGGAGGGTGGGGGACTGCTCAGTATCTCTGGCAAAAGGAAACATCACTGGGTTAGTGGGCTCTGCCCTGGCCTCTCCCGTGCCCGCCCACTGATTTCTGGGCAGTGGTGGCTTCCTGCCAGGGCAAAAAACACATCCCCAGAAAGACGTCATGGGCTCTCGTGGGTGGGGGCCACTCCCTGCCACAGAAGCTCCAGTGGCTACTCTGGTGGCCCTCCCGCCGTTCCTTTTCAGAGTCTCTAGGGAGGTCAGGGTCCTAAAAACTCCTTTCCTTGGAGGTGTCGACAGCTTTGTGATGGGGATCCCTTCCATGGGTGCCTATATTTGGGAACTGATAATGCTTAATGCTCCCTAAGATGAGACTCTCAGGAGGCTGGATTGGTAAAAGGAAGACGCTCTATGGGTGGGGCCCTCCTGGCCAGGGCCTCAGGCGGGTGGGTCCTGTGTGCAGCCCTGGATGCAGACAGATGCCCCCTTTGTTCTCACCCTGCTGCCCGCTCGCTGCAGCTGTAACGGCCCCAGCATGCTGCTCTCCTGGTTTTACCCCTATAGCTCTCGTCCAAAAAGGGTGCCTTACAGAGCTGGCTGCCTTCTTGGCCTTCACTTTATTTTTTAAAAAGTCAAAGCTAGTCCCTTTGAGGACCCTGCATCCTTTTGTTCTTGATCCTCTCTTAAAGGGCCCTCGCTCTTTGTACAGGGCCCATGTTTTGACTCCCTGCCTTCCCACATCCCTTGTATTGCTGTTGCCATCCCTTTCCTGCCCCTGAAAGACCCCTCTCCCCTTCCCTTCCTCAGGCTGCAAAATCAAAGCCCTGGGATCTTTCCCTGGAAATCGGAGACTGAAAAACTGTCTCCCTTTCCCCCTCTTCAGGGCAAGATCTTCAGCTGGAAGGGGGTGCCTTGGGGTCTTGGGGGAGTGCCCCCCTGCCCTCCTCCAGGGCCAGGGGACCAGCATCTTCAGGCAGGAAATACTCAGACCACTGTGAGGCCCGGGCCTCGAGGCCTGGAAAGAGCCGCATCCCGGGCCGTGATCACCGGCGCTACTACCACGACCACTGGAGGCTGGAGTACCTGATGGACTTCAACCCCGCCCGGCATGGCATGGTGTGCATGGTGTGCGGCAGCTCCCTGGCCACGCTCAAGCTCAGCACCATCAAGCGGCACATTCGCCAAAAGCACCCCTACTCCCTCCATTGGAGTCCCCGGGAGAAGGAAGTCATCAGCAACAGCTGGGATGCCCACTTGGGGCTGGGGGCTTGTGGAGAGGCTGAGGGCCTGGGGGCCCAGGGGGCTGAGGAGGAGGAGGAAGAAGAAGAGGAAGAGGAGGAGGATGGGGCTAGCCTCCAAGCTTGCCCACCCAAGGGCCCAGGTAATGCAGGACTTGGAGAGGCAGGGGACTGGGGGTTAGGTGGGGCCAAGTGGGGACAGCCCTGGCCTCTCAGCCAACTAACTGACTTTCTTTGGGTGTGGTCTGTTTATTGCCCTTATTGTGCCACAGCGGGGGAGGGACAGTAGGACCAGGGGGTCTCCAGTATCTGACAGCTTTGACATTGTGGTTTTTGAAGGATCCAGGAGGGTGGAGGCTTGAGGGATAGGGAGGGGAAGGGCTGGGAGCAGAGCGTGCTAGAAAGGTATGGCAGACAGTGAAGTCCAGAGAAGGGCCTAGAATCCGGGTCTGGGGAGGAAGAAGGTGGGCCTTAGAGTTTGTGTGCAGGAGGATTAGAAGATGGAGGAATTAAGTCTTGAGGGAAGAGGAAGAGAAGGACAAAGGTTAGGCCGGGGCTCAGAGTCAGAGTGAGGGAGAGGCCTGTGGAGGACTTGGCTGGTGTGTGGGGGCTCCCCCAGAGGGCCAGCATCTCAGTTCCTTCCCTCCCTCCAACCCTTTCAGGCAAAGCCCCAGCTGGTGGGGGCAGCAGGCGCCAGCGACGAGGGGGCCCAGTGGCACCCCGGGCTCGGCGTCGGCGCCACTCGGCTTCCCGGAGGGCCGGGGGCAGCAGGGGGCTGGGGGCTCGGCGCCTGGAACGGAGGCTGAAGGAGTCCCTGCAGAACTGGTTCCGGGCAGAGTGTCTCATGGACTATGACCCGCGGGGGAACCGGCTGGTGTGCATGGCCTGTGGCCGGGCACTGCCCAGCCTGCACCTGGACGACATCCGTGCCCACGTGCTGGAGGTGCACCCCAGCTCCCTGGGGCTCAGCGGCCCCCAGCGCAGCGCCCTGCTGCAGGCCTGGGGTGGCCAACCTGAGACACTGTCTGAGCTCAGCCAGTCCCCACCAGGTGCGAGGCCCATCCCAGGGCCAAGACTCCCTCATATAAGGGCTGCTAAGGGGTCTGTGGCCAAAACTGGAAGGGCGTCACTCCCCGCACGCACGCACGCACGCACGCAGACACACTGGCTGGGGCCTCTAGCTTGGGGCTGGAGTGAGGAGCAAGGGACCCCCTCTGCGTGGGTAAAGGCAGCCCGGCCATCAGGCTGAGCCCCTCTCCCTCACCCCTTCCCCAACAGACGATGACCTCGTCCCCCAGGACCTGACCAGAAAGAGCCGGGACTCGGCCCCCGCTGCTGGAGCCCCCTCCTCTCAGGATCTCAGCCCCCCAGACGTAAAGGAAGAGGCTGGCTGGGTCCCTGAGAGGCCCGGGCCGGCAGAGGAGGAGGAGCTGGAGGAGGGCGAGAGGGTGGGGGTCCCGGGCCGGTCGCCACGGGGCCGCGACCACCGCCGCCACTATCAGGAGCGCTGGCGACTGGAGTACCTCATGGAGCTGGACGGCGGCCGGCGCGGCCTGGTGTGCATGGTGTGCGGGGGCGCGCTGGCCTCGCTCAAGATGAGCACCATCAAGCGGCACATCCGCCAGCGCCACCCGGGCTCCACGCGCCTCAGCGGGCCTGTCAAGGCCCTCATCGCCCAGGAGTGGAGCGAGAAGGCCGCCCACCTGCTTGCCCTGGGGCTGCCCTGCCCCGAGTCCCCCAGGGACCCTGCCGCCCCCAGCACAGCCGCAGCCTCCGAGGAGGGGGGAGGGGAAGAGGAGGAGGAGCCAGAGGAGGAGTGGTGGGGTGAGCTGGTGGAGGCCCAGAGCAGGTGGAAAGGGAGAGGGACAGGGACCAGGTCAGGCAGAGAGAGCGGGTCGGGGAGCGCTGGGGTAGAACGGGGCGGTGAGAATGGAAGGTTGGAGGGAAGATTGGGGAGGATGGGACAGGAGGGCAAAGGTGAAGGGTTATGAAGCTGAGACGCAGGACCGGGCTGCTTTTTCCCCCACGGACTCCAATACCGCCCTTTGTTCCTTCCTAGGTGATGTCCCGCTTTCCCCTGGGGAGCCGTCGGAGCGGCCCGCCGAGGAAGAGGAGGAGGACGACGACG